AATGAGAAAATAACCAAATGTCCCTAGATGCATATCCATTTGTCTAGAATATAGGGAGAGATTTGCAATTGGAGGCAGAACATTTCACAAGATGGCCATAGGTCTTAGAGAACCAAAAGCACACTAAGAAAGTCAGCCAGTGGAATATCACCCACTTCACAGTTAGTTTTTTGGTGAAAAGAAATGGTGTACAACATTCATGGAAACTATTGCAGCTTTCTCAGGTGAACTACAGTTGTGACTGAACAGACACAAATGATTATCAAGGGAATGTAGAAAAAATTGACTCAGTATTCACTGTTAACTGTTCAAAGTTTGCATTTCAACCCAAGATTGCTTATTTCTTGCATGTCACTAATCTCTGTAACAACTCTGTTTTATAGGTAATTGGGTCAGAAGTTTGTTCTTTAGCAGATGTAATGAGGGAACTCTGTTACTGCTCAGGGTATAAACTAGATATGGACTGTTCCATGTTAGAAGCAGCAGAGTTCATAGAGATGTGTTTTTTACTATGAGATCAACCAATAGGACTAGGAAAAGCACATAAGATTTCTAGAAATGAATCTTCCATCAGTACCTCTGCTTTGCTAGAAGAGATGGTACTGAAACATTTTCCATAGCTAGTCGGGATAGATACCTGCCAAAACAGGTTTAAATTCTGCTGCTTTTAGTGCATCTAGCATTCTAGTTCCTCTCAACTTATTCTTACAGAGAGCTAAAAAAAAAAAATAAAAACACTAGGTTATCTGAAAAGATTCTGTCTCCCCTAGCTCTTCCATTATTTGATGGCATCTGCCTATTACCAAACTCTAGAATTCTGTGGGTTTTTTTCTCTGAGAGGAAAATATACACAGTCTACTATCTATGAAAATCAGAACAGTTAGATCTGCATAACAAAGGCCCAAATGTGCTGTTCAATGTCACCGTTTTTATTCTCTCTCCATTTTCCTGGAGGTAGCTGAATTTGGGAGTCCAAGGTAGTCCAAAAAATGGAAATAATGCAATTTGGAGTATAAAAAATGGAAATGTTTTCATATTTATAATATGAAAAAAATACCTTCTACATTTTTATTTATAATTTTTAATGGTCTTGAAATTCTGGTAACATGAAAAATTGAGAGAGACATAAATATGGTTTTTACTTTCTATTTAGTGTCTTAATATTAAAAAAGTTTTCAGATCCACTGCTGATATCCCTCTTTACTCAGGGTAGAAAGTTCTCTGAAAAGCAGTATGCTAACCAGATCTGATAAATTGATTTAAATACAGCATTTAATGAACTGTGGTTTGGTTATTGCAATATGTGGCTGGGTGACATTCCTACTGATGGTACTCATGACTATTATAGGACAACATTTTGTACAAACCTTTTTAATATTTTGAATTTATAGATGTGTTGTTCCGGTAAATCATAAAATAAAATGGAAGTCCCCAATAACATACTGTACTATATCAAGAGATGCTGATGAAATAGCCTTCATATAGAAAAGAATGGAAAAGATACATATAAAGCCAAAACAGGATATGACTAGTATCAAAGACAGTACTGAAAAATAAAGCACATACCATAAGAAAGAAATAAATGCAACAAGAAATTCATATTATTCTGAAAAAAAAAATATAAGCACTCAACAAGGTGGAAAAAAAGCTGCCCAGAAACAGAATGACTCACCCTGGCAAATAACAAGATTGTCACAATACCAGGGAAAATACAGTAACAGCACTGAGAAGAGATTCTTTTAGATCGAGAACAAATGTAACAATGGTTAAAAAGAGCAGATATGAAGAAAATGCTCAACATAGGATGAGAAGGATAAAATAAGGCTGAAAATGAAACAATGAAATAACAAAGCATAAAAATGAAAAAGCTTATCAAAAGGGGAAAATATTATCATAGAAATAAAGGAAGGACCTATTTCTCACCAAGATTTGCTTATATTCCAAAAAAGAACACGTAGAAATATTAAGCAATGAAGTATTATATAAATTCCCACATATTTACTGATTATAGTGATGAAAATAAGCCTTAGAATTTAAAGATATTGAAACTTTAAACAAATGTTAAATATAATCCCATCTTCTCCTGTCTGCTTGCTACCGTATCATGTTGTGGATTATTTATATTTTATATAAGAACAAGCAGGAGCTGTAATATCAATCATTTAATAATAACTAAGAAATTGATTTGCTTGACAGATTTTATTTCCAAATAAATTTTGGTGAATATCATGACTTATGGTTAAAGTTGAAGAACAGTTGAATCATCCTATCACAGTAAGGTGTTTCCTAAGTTGTACAGAAACCTTCACCAATCATCCTTCCAGTGCAAGAACCAGACAGGTATTGCAGGCATTGCCATCTGGCCTTATGTCTTTTTTCTGTTTCATCCACACCTATTCCTAGCAGCTATAAAATATCATTACATCCAGATATCATTATTTTATTCTTATTCTGACCTGAATATATAGACACTGAAAAGCCAAAGGCAACCCTTATAATCCGTCCTTATTATCTATATATTACAAGCTACAAAACTGGCCATGAATTAAGACCACTTACATCGTGCTCAATTTCATATGATTTTCAAATATCTGATACATTCACTGGTGGTCTGTCCTAAAAGTTTATTTTCCTCCTTGCAAAATATTACAGCTCATTCTTATTGGAAGTGAAAATTACCTAGTGACATAGAGACCCTGTCAGGATGAGATTTCCTCTGTACAGCCATTTATTCTGGAGAACTGGGAAACAGATGTGCCATTTATGAATGTGTGCTTGTCCTTGAGTGTGGATGTGTGGATTGATAACTTTTTCATGGTTAAATACAAGGGAATTCTTAAAGAAACTCTGCAGAAGAAGAAACACAACTTCCCATCTGAAGATCTTCCAACACCACCTCATATATGATAGCCAAACTAATAGCTGTTAAAGCTGAGCCTTCAGTGTTGGTATGGTCACAAAGCTTTCACCAAGGCTTAGGGCCTGGAGACAAGGACGCACCAACAAGAAGGTCCCTAAGGCACCGGCAGCATTATTTGCCATGCCATGCACGACCCTGACTTTGGGCATAATCAAATGACTGCATAATAGCTATGGCAGTGGAGAATCACCTCTGGAGTGACTGAATATATGCTTTCTTTCCTATCTGTGGCCTTTAACAAGATTTTCTGAACACATATTATTCCTTAGTATGCTTTTGAAGATGTAGCGTACTAGGTACTTTATGACATATATTATATGTCTATATAGATATAGCTTTGCAGTACTGTATAACTCTTATTCTGACTCAGAAAAAAATAAATGAATTGCAAAATCCTGTTGAAGCTGGGATTTATCTTGAATATATTATCTGCTGGTATTAAAATTTTGTCTTGCGTATGTCTGCCAGTGTGTTTGAGCATGTCTGCATGTATATAGGTTTGGAGGTCATTACAGTTGTTTCCTGGCATCTGAGTTCTTTTAATAATATAAAAATCAACTGACTGAAGTCTTTAACAATATTTTCCCTTAGGACTACTCTAAAATAGCCTTTTATTGGGGAAGTTCAGCACACAGTTTTTCTTCCCATGACACCAGAAGTCAGTTTAACAAGAGCTGTCATTCAAAGCTAATCCTTCTGCTAATGAACCAACCCCTATTGTATGCAAACTCTGTAGCACTCTGAAAGTTGCTGACCTTGCACAAGAAGACATGGCTACTGTCTACTTTCTAAACACAATCAACTCCTTGAACCACTGGCAATATCTCTTGTCCTGAGCTTTTGTTCACTCAAATTTCCAGTTTGCTTCATATCAAGGTAGCTCATAACTCCTAAGCAGCCTGATGGAGGGAATGGACATTTAAATGAAACGTTGGCACAGGATTCTTTATCTCTGCTTTCCTGAAGGAGAAGACAGTGGAAGTGGCTCCTCTGCCTGAGCAGTGAGAAACCTCATAGAGCAGCCTACCTAGAAGACACTACGTGATTTTGCACTTATGTTGTCCCCCATTAAAAACCATCTCACATCCGTGCTGAGTAGACAGTTTCACTCAGACAGGATGTTCAGCATCGCAAACACAGGAACCATTCACACTGCTCCTGGGCTGCGCTTGGGAGGATCCAGGCTAAAGCAGAGCATCCTGCGTGCCTCGTAAAGGTCCTAAAGCCTAGATTATTACCCACAGCTGCTTCTAACCCCTGTGTGGGGTATTCAGGGAAACTTCAATCTTTAAAGACTGTATTTTGGCACCAGGATGCTGGAGAGCGAGCATCTCATCCCCATAAAGACTGTTCATCCCTGTGGCAGTCTTGGCCTCGCTCTCTTTCTGACAGAGGCGAGACATGAACGATGCGGGGGGCTGTGGTGGCTCACAGCCTTCGGGGACGTGGACCCCGGAGCCACCCTGTAGAACCCCAGGGTGCAGGGATCACCCCACGGGAGCCATGAGAGCTTCCCCACAATTGGACGTGTCAGTGCCCCTTCATTTCCACCTGTCGTGTGGGGTTTGGGTGTTTTTGGTGGGGGGAGGGTCCTGATTTCTCTTCCCACAGAAGCGATACCAGTGCTGGCGCCCTGACCCACTTCCACAGCGCACGGCGA